GCCACCAGGCCACCGGCCGACGGCCACCAGCTCCCGGCGGCTCTGTCCCGGCTTTCTGTCTGTGTCTGTCTGTCCCTGGGAAGCCCACCGGGGCAGGTGTCACTCCCAGGTCAGACTCTTCCAGGCACCGGGGGCACAGCGGTGCAGGCGCAGCAGTGGCGGGAGAGGAGGAAGCGTGGAAAGAGCGTGGCCTTTCCCTGCCAGCGAGTCTGTGCGCAGGCGTGTGGCGGGGAGAGCCCGGGCTGCCAGGGGTCCCCAGCGCTGGGCCATCAGGCTAGCGCCTCAAGCAGAAGCTGCCCCTCCCGCCTCCGGGATGGGCTCAGACGGGTGAGGCAGGGGTCGGGGCCAGCGGGGGCTCTGCCTGCTCCAGGGCCAGGCGGTTCCGCTGGTCGGGCTGTGCTCGGAGGAGCTGGCCACTGCCCTGGGGCGGGGGGACACTTGCTAGGGAGATGCGGTCCCTCCTCCTGGACTCAGGGGCCCCAGTATCTGCTGGCCCAGCATGGGCAGGGCAGAGGCTGAGCAGTGAGTGCAGGGAGGGGTCAGGGAGGCGGGAGGAGGAAAGTGCTGGGGGCCCTGGGCGCGGGGATCCGATCGGGGGCTGGGGGTCCGGGCTGAGGATCTGGGCCTCCTGCACCCGCAGCTGGGGCTCAGGAAGCCTGGGGGGGCTGGGGCAGCCAGACCCAAAGCTGCAGAGCACTTGGCCTCTGAGCTGAGCTGAGCGGAGCCTCAAAGCCACCGGAAACCAGCCAACACCACGGGCTGCGGAAGGAAGGTCCCGGCCCGGCCTCGTGGTTTGTTTCATCGTGTCCTTCCCTGTGGGCCAGACACTTGCCCTCCTCCTGGGTCCTGGTTGCGGCTCTCGAGCTGGTGGGAGCAGGGGCCCCATACAGGTCTCTGCTCTTCTTTCTCTCTGAAGTAAGAAGCTCAGGCGGGAGGAGGTAGCGAGTGAGGAAGTGCACGGGCGGTCAGAGCCCATCGCAGCCTTTCCACCCGCTGTGTGGCCGTGGCTCAGTCCCTGCCCCTGCTGGGGCCTCCTTTCCTTGCCTGTGAAATGGGGCGGCACTTAGCACAGCCGGACACCGTGGGAGCCCTCCTGGAGGGGCGAGAGGCCGTGTGCCCTGCAGGCCTCGTGGGCCACCCCTCCCCACTCCCCGACTGGTCACGCTCTGGCCCCAGAGCAGTACCCTGTCCCAGGTGAGGCAGGGCCTGTTCCCACAGCTCAGATACCATCAGCCCAGCCGGTCCGACCAGCCCATGGGCACCTGGGGGCCAGTGGGGAGGGAGGGAAATAAGACCGAAACCAGCATTTATGGGCGTGGAGCTGTGGTGAGCCTTTCCCAGGTTCTGGGCACAGGCCTGTGTCCTACTTGTTGAAAAGAGAGGTTGGCAAATAATTGGGAGTGTCCCGGAGAGCCAGACAGCCCCACAGGTTCTCAGAGGGCTGCTCCGGCCAGGCTGTGCGGCTCGCGTCTGCGGTGCCTTCCTTAGCAGTGGTAGGAAGTTTCTTCACCTCTCTGCCTCAGTTTCCCCGCCTTTAAGATGGAGATGAGTTCCTACCGTGTAGCATAATGAGGCGCTTAGGGAGGATGTAGGAGGTTAGCTGCTGTCGTCATCATCATTATTTCAAGTTGAGGGCTCACTGAGTGCCAGGCAGTGTGCTTTGCGCCTTCCGTGCCTTTATCTTGTTTAGTCGTCTCGTTAGCCCCGCGATATTACCCGGTTATTCCCACGATCCCATTGCTCAGATGAGAAATCCGGGGCTCTGACACCTGCCTGGGCTCACCCCAGACCAGGCGACTGGTCAGCTGGAGCTGGACCGCCCTCCGCGGAGCTTGACTTCACATCCCCTGTGATATGGGAGGTGCGAGCTTTGCACCCAATTCACAGATGAGGAAATGGAGGCTCCAAGAGTCAGGAAGGTGCTTGTGGGGAGGAGGAGGTTCTGCCAGCCTGTGGGCCTAGCAGCGACCTCTGAGAAGGGAGCGAAGGCAGCTGGGCTTCCAAGACATCGTCATGCTGATCCCGGCTCCGCCTCACCTCTGCTGTCCGGAGAGCAGGCCTCTTGTGTTACTTTCTTTTCCAGATGTGTGGTTTGGCTCTGGGGGATGCCGGGCCCTGCGGGTTGTTCCTCCCTCCCTCCTCTTCCTCTTCCCCTCCCCTCCCAGGATGCTACTGCCTGTCCTCCCTCTGAGGTCAGCCCCAGGGCCCCATGGCCCTTTATGGGATCTCACGGTGACCAGGCTGCTGGTGGCCCCTCTGGCCGCGTGCACAGCGTGGGCACTGGCTTTCTTCCAGCCCCGCAGAGCCTGCAGCTTGCACATTTCGGCTCTTCAGGGCCGGGCTCCGCCCTCGGGGACTGGCTCCAGCTGTTGGAGTCCAGGCGCGGCTCCCTGGGGCGAGGCTCCTCCATGGGAACTCATGTGGGCTGTGAGGGACTGGGTTGGGGTCTCAGGGGCTTGGCTCGGGTCTTCAGAACTAGTGTCAGCCCTCTGGGACTAGATTGGGCTCTGAGGCCTTGGCTGGGCCATCCCGGGCTAAGTCCATTACAATCAGATTGAGCCGGGCCATGGGGAAGCCCCAGTCCCCACAAGACGGCCTTAAAGGAAAGGGCCCCTAAGTGAGCACACTCGGCCTGGGAGCCCCAGGTTGAAAGGGCTGCTGACTCTCCAGGGGGAGGTGCCTGTGGAAATCACGGGGACACACTGAGGCTGGCTCCCTGGGGCCTGTAGGAGAGGGGGGATTGCTTAGGGGCGAGCTGGGCTCCTGGGGTAGGTGCCTCCCTTTGGGACTAGGCTCCGCCCTCCGGGACTGGCTGCAGCCTTAGGGTCTGGGCTGGGCTCTTAGGGGCTAAGCTCGGCCCTGGGGTCTGGGTTTCGGCTCTTTGGGCCAAGCTGGGAGCGCCAGGAGGGCACAGGAACTGGCACAGGGGCAGCGAGCAGAGGCTGTCCAGGTCTGGGGCCAGTTCTCTCTGCACAGAGGGGCCAGCGTGTGTTTAGGGAAACTTTCAGCTGAAACTGTGTTTAAGTCTCTGCGTCCGTGGCACTTCCTCCTCCCAGCACGGCCCTCCAGTCCCAGTCCTGGGTGGGTTGCCTGTGGCTCCCTGGCCTTCTTTTTTTTTTTTTTTAAATATATTTTATTGATTTTTCACAGAGAGGAAGGGAGAGAGATAGAGAGTCAGAAACATCGATGAGAGAGAAACATCGATCAGCCGCCTCCTGCACATTCCCCTCCGGGGATGTGCCTGCAACCCAGGTACATGCCCTTGACCGGAATCGAACCTGGGACCCCTCAGTCTGCAGGCCAACGCTCTATCCACTGAGCCAAACCGGTTTCGGCTCCCTGGCCTTCTTGTTTGAAGAGGTGGTTTTTCCTCCTCCTCCGGGCCTGCCCCCCTATTCCCGGATTCCCGCCTGTGCCCTGGGGCTCTTCCAAAACGCCACTGCCCATTGCAGTCGCTGAGCAGGGAGAAAGGTGAGCAGGAAGCAGATTCCAGAACAAAGGCTGGGCTGGGTGGGAAGGTCAGGGGGGTGAGGACCTTCCCACAGCCTCACCGAGGTGCCCACAAGTCCACAGCCTTGAGGACCCAGTGGGCCTGGGCCCAGCGACGGGGCCGCTGCCTTTGATGGTCACCCTCTGTCCCAAGTCAGCATCTTTTTTTTTTTTTTTTTTTTTTTTTTTTTTTACTGAAATACAATCCACATACCCTTCGGCTCACATAGTAAAACGTACAAGTCACTGGCTTCAGTCTGTTCCCAGTTGTTGCACAGCAAGCACCAGTCACGTTTTAGACATTCTGTCCCTCTGAAGAAACCCGTATCCTCAGCCATCACGCCCCTGGCTCCAGCCCCCCCAGCCCCGAAGCCATGCCTCTCCTTCCCGTGCCTGTGGGTTTGACTACACCGGACATTTCACAGAAATGAAATCAGACCCTGTGTGGCCTTTTAGGTCTGGTTTCTTCAGCAACATGTGTTCAAGGTTCATCTGTGCTGCAGGATGCACCCAGAGTTCCTTTATTTTTTGTGGCTGAATAATATTCCCCTGTGGGGAGACCCCTTTTTGTTTATCCAGTCATCACCTGATGGACATGGAGGGTGTTTCCGCTCCGTGGGGATGAGAATCATGCTGCTGCGAGCATTCGTGCACATTCTCACGTCAGCATGTGTCATTTCTCCTGGGTGCACACCTACGAGCGAACCGCTGGGTCAGGCGGTAGCTTTACAGCTCACGCCTTTGGGCCGGCCGGACTGTTTTCCACGCCTGCAGGCCGGCTTCCCGCTGTGCGACGCCACAGTGGCCGGAGCGGGTTCCCCACCCAGGGATGCGACGGGCTAAGTGGCCCCTGACTGCCCCGAATGGGTGCCATCCGTGTCTCCCTTTAACTTTCTGGAGGGGAATGTCCAGCACACTTAGTGGATTCCCCAAAGCCTCCCTGAGCCTCCAGACCCCGTTCTTGCCAGTTCAGGGTTGGGTCAGTGCCACACGCTGTCCTGCTCTCGTGGGCCCCTCTCAGGATGAAAGGGACAGCCTGGCCCCGGCCCAGTGGCTCCCTCAGTTGGAGCCTCGTCCTGTACACCAGACGCATTTCGGGTTTGATCCCCAGTTGGGGCACATACGGGAAGCAACCAATTGATGTTTCTCTCTCACATGGATGTTTTGTTTCTCTTCCTCTCTCCCTAGAATCAATAGAGGGTTTAAAAAAATACAGCCTGGTACACGGTGAAGTGTTATATGACATCTGTTTTCTTTTCTTTCTCCTTCCTGGTGCTCGTCCTTCCGGAACCAGCAAGGAGCACTTCAACAACGTCCCTGACCTGGAGCTCAACCCGATCCGATCCAAAATCGTCCGTGCCTTCTTCGATAACCGGTGGGCCTTGTCCCGCGTAGGGGGCTGTGTTCTGGGGGAGCAGTTTGCCCTTGTAACTAACGGCTCACAGCCCTTGGTGCTCAGAACAGCCCTGGAGCTGGCGCAGGGGAGAGGAGGGAGCTGTTTGGATAGGAGCTGTGAGCACAGGTGTGGGTCACACCGTTCTGGGGTCGTAGCTGGGTACCTTGGCTGGCTCACTCAGTCCCTCTAGGCCTCTGTATGAGTCAGCTTTGGCTGTGTAACAAATTACCCAACACGTAGCAATGTAAAACAATGAGTATTTATGCTCTCACCGTTTGTGTGGATCAGGCATCTGGGTGCAAACAAGCTGAGTCCCCGGGCTCAGGGTCCGCTGGGGCTACAGTCATCTGAAGGCTCGACTGGGGAGGCTGTGTTCCCGAGCTCCCTGTTGGCAGGCGGCCTCTCAGGACCTCTCCACAGGGCTACTTGCACCTGGCAGCTGCTGGCTCCCCCCCGCTGAGATGTCCCCATGACAAGGAGGGGGACTGACTGGGAACCCCGATAGAAGCCACCAGTTTTGGTAACCCAACCTCTCAAGGCACAGGTCACCGCATACTTGGAAAAGGGACTGAGCAGGGGCGTGGGATCCTTGGGGGCCACCTGGGAGGCTGCCTCAGTTTTCTCATCTATTAAATGGAGGTGATAACAGCCTCTGCCTTGGGGGGTCGCTGAGAGGATGGAGATGATGTGCTAAAGTGCTAAGGGGCTGTCCTGCTTGTTGCCCTGGACTACAGACGGCAAAACTGAGGTTCAGGGAGACGGTGCACTTGGCTGCCTGAGTCCCAGAGCTGAGGCTCCAGCCAGAGCTCCTCCACCAAATGCCGTGTTGTTGGCGGTGAAAGACTCACATGCCTGGGTGGAGGCTCCTGGGGTGTGAGCTCCAGGCCTGACCCCTCTGTCTGCAGAGATCGCTGACACAGGAAGAACCAGCGGAAAGAGGAAGGAAGGGATCGGGCCATCAGGACTTCCCTGACCCGTTCCGAGTAGCGTGAGCCTGGACGGCTCAGCTCTGGTTGGCCGGGGGCTGCGAGGCCCGAGCAAGATGCTGAGCCCCTCGGAGCCTCGCCTGCTCACAGGGGGAGTAGGGAGTCCTCCCTCCAGGGCTCATGGGGCAAGACCTGAGGAGAGAGCGACCAAGAGCTCACCAGCCAACGCGGGAGAGAAGACGCCGCAGAATAACTGCTCGTGCAAAGGCCCAGTGAATTGGAAGCACTGCCCTCGACGGCTAGTTGTCCCAGGCCAGCTGGAAAGTGGCCCTTTGCTGGGACCCCCGCCTGCTATTCTGATGACCCCTCCCTCCGGGGCCGCCGGACTGTGGCCGCTGGGGGCCGTGTAAGGGCTGGCCCTGGCGGAGGCCTCTCCCGAGCTGTTGTCACCGGGACCCACCTGGGGGCCGTGACCACGCCTGCTGTGCGCTCCCTGAGCCCCGCCCGGGCAGTGCCCTTTCTTGCCCCTCAGGAGGGCACAGGGACAGGGACGGCAAACTGCCCGGATTCACTAAAGCACCTGGAGCCATGTGACCTGCCCTTGTAGTGACAGGCTCCTAGCGCTGCCTGAGCTGCTGGGACGCTGCCAGAGAACAGACACTGCAGGCCCGGCGGCCGGCCTGGGTGTGTCCCAGCTGCTCCCCAGCCTCGGTGGCCTGAATGCAGCCACAGCGACAGTGAAGGAACAGGCGTGGCTGTGAGCCAGTAACACTGTATTTGCGACACTGAAATGTGAATTTCATGTAAGTTTCGCTTGTGATGAAATGCCATCCTTTTGGGTTTCGCCCCCAAACATTCTTTCCACCATTTCAAAACATGAAGACCCTCCTGGGTCCCTGAGCTGCGCAAACACGGCGGCCCCGGGCTGCAGTGCCACCCCTGATGCCAAGGAAAGTGTCAGATGGACCCGGTGAGCTGCTGCACTGCCCGGAGCCCCGGGTCCCTCAGTGCGAGTCCCACCTGAGTGCCCGCAGCACAGCCAGGCAGCCCTCCGTCCCAGGCCCGGGCGCCAGGTGTCTGAGGACCTCATGGGGCTGTGCTGAGCCTCCCAGGCCCTGGGCCCCAGAGCAGGTTGTTGGGAAACAGAACCCAAGCTCAGACGGCCATGGAGGGCAAAGAACCTGCTCAAGGGCCCCAGCGGCCTGGCCGACGAGATCAATTTTGAGGACTTCCTAACCATCATGGCCTACGTCCAGCCCATCCACGTCACCATGGATGAGGAGCAGGTGCAGCTGTGCCAGAAAGAGAAGCTGCGATTCTGTTCCACATGTATGACTCGGACAGCGACGGCCACATCACCCTGGAGGAATATCGAAATGTGGTGGAGGAGCTGCTCTCGGGGAACCCGCACATAGAGAAGGACTCGGCCCGCTCCATCGCCGACGGGGCCATGATGGAGGCGGCCAGCGTCTGCATGGGGCAGATGGAGCCTGACCAGGTGTACGAGGGCCTCACCTTCGAAGGCTTCCTGAAGATCTGGCAGGGGATCGACATCGAGACCAAGATGCACGTCTGCTTCCTTAACATGGAGACCATGGCCCTCTGCCACTGAGCGCTCCCTGCGGAGACCGCATTTTGTACCACGCAGCACCCCCCGCCCCCCAGGCCGAGCAGCCCCCGAGGACTGAGCAGCCGGGGCGGGGCCTGCGGCCACAGCTCATCTCCCACCAAACACTCTTGCCACCATTTCAAAACATGAAGACCCTCCTGGGTCCCTGAGCTGCGCAAACACAGCGGCCCCAGGCTGCAGTGCAATCCCTGATGCCAAGGGAAGTGTCAGATGGACCCGGTGAGCTGCTGCACTGCTCGGAGCCTCGGTTTCCCCAGTGCGAGTCCCACCTCTGTGCCCACAGCACAGCCAGGCAGCCCTGCGTCCCAGGCCCGGGCGCCAGGTCTCAGAGGACCTCATGGGGCTGTGCTGAGCCTCCCAGGCCCTGGGCCCCAGAGCACGTTGTTGGGAAACAGAACCCAAGCTCGGACGGCCATGGAGGGCAAAGAACCTGCTCAAGGGCCCCAGCGGCCTGGCCGACGAGATCAATTTTGAGGACTTCCTAACCATCATGGCCTACGTCCAGCCCATCCACGTCACCATGGATGAGGAGCAGGTGCAGCTGTGCCAGAAAGAGAAGCTGCGATTCTGTTCCACATGTATGACTCGGACAGCGACGGCCGCATCACCCTGGAGGAATATCGAAATGTAAAGTATGCTCCTCGCCCGCCCGGCCAGGGCTCCTGGCGCCTCCCGCCCAGCGGGCATGGAGGCCCTGGGTCACATCTCTGCCCGCCGGCAGGTGGTGGAGGAGCTGCTCTCGGGGAACCCGCACATCGAGAAGGACTCGGCCCGCTCCATCGCCGACGGGGCCATGATGGAGGCGGCCAGCGTCTGCATGGGGCAGATGGTGAGTGAGCTGCCAGGGCTGCGGGCTGTGGGGCCTGCGGACCAGCTGGTAGCCTCTGGAGTGACCGGCAGCACCTGGCACCGTGGCAGGGCTGGGCAGTGTGGAGCAGGCTCGCTTTACTGTGTCCTGCGTGGCTTGGAGGGGATTTGAGGCCCTGAGGCAGGGCTCACAGGGAGCTCTCTCTTGGG